CAAAAAATAATAAATCTATATTAATAAATTTTAATTGCTTGTAATAATCTTAGGATAAACGAATTTTATAATTTCGTAAAAAAAATCTTTCAATTCATTTAAAAAATTCTCAACTTGGAAGAAATAAGATGTTCATTAATGTCTTCAAACTACTTAAATGTCCGTGTTCGAAAATGCTTTATGATTGGTTGTTTTCATAATACAAAATTTTTCCAATTCTTTAAAATAACCATTTTTTTTCAATAAAATTCAATTCTACGTTAGAAGCGTCTTGATGTTTCGATAGATCCTGCAACTTATTATCTCAATTTCGTTGAGTCTAAACTGAATTTTGAAAACACTTAATAGGCTGAAAAAACTACTTAAATGGAATGTCTTACAAATGATGGTGAAAATATTAAACATCTTCTCTGCGATTTCCAGTTTTTTCCTTCTTTTTTTTTACTACATTTGTCATAATTATATTTGTAATAATTCCAATTGCAATTAGATCACATTACATTTTCAGTCCCATTCTAATACATTTCCGTGATTTTCCATGAACTTTTCAGTGCTAGATATAATTTTTATTGTTCTGTATTCCAATTGCATTCCAGCCTAATTCATTCCAATTGCAATTAGATCACATTACATTTTCAGCCCCTTTCCATTACATTTCAGTGATTTTCCATGAACTTTTCAGTGCTAGATATCATTTTTATTGTTTTGTATTCCAATTGCATTCCACCCCAATTCATTCCAATTGCAATTAGATCACATTACGTTTTCAGTTACATTCAATTAAATTTTCATGATTTTCCATGAACTTTTCAGTGCCAGATATAATTTTTATTATTTCGTATTCCAATTGCATTCCAGCCCAATTCTTACCAATTGCAATTAGATCACATTACATTTTCAGTCTCATTCCATTACATTTCCGTGATTTTCCATGAACTTTTCAGTGCCAGATATAATTTTTCCAGTTCCCAGATATTCCACGATTACTTTCAAGTTGTTTTCTTTCCATTTTGACTTTTTCAGTTTCTTGTTGTCCCATGAACAGAGAATATAGAAAGGAGAAGAAGCCTAGCTCTTGGAATACGTTAACTAAGGAAGGGGCCATGATGATCCAGGCGCCTTAACCGGCTGCGTAACCTGAGCGCGTCAGTTTCTGCCATTATTGTTTTGTATTTATTGTCCCAGAATCTGTTCCAATACTCTAATTCCTCTTTAATCTTCATCGTCTCTTCCGGAATCTCGGATGGTGTAAAATGGTATTAATTCGGATGGGGGGGGGGCAAGCCTTGATGCTATTGGCAATCGAAATGGGCTACACGTGGCGTGGAGCAGAACTCTACCTATGGCAACACTTCGTATGGCATTCACCATTAGCGTGTGAAGAGTCATAGGAGAAGGAAGTACGTCAGTTCCTCTCTTGATTTTAAGTTAGGAAACTATATGGAAATGAAAACTACAATGAACATAGCTCTAAATACCACAAAACATTTCCCAGACCAAAATGCTCCCTACTCCAGCTTGGATCCTTCCGGCAATGGACAATTAGTCAATTTTTCATTTTGTGACGTAGCTAAGTTAACTGTTAAATGATTATTAAACCAAAGCTTAAAGCATCTTTTTTTTTTAGTTTTTAAACACACGTTTCTAAAAAGCCTTTTTTTTTTTTTTTTTTTTGTTCTGAATATAAACAAAAACCAGTTCTGAAGTGTGCGAAGAGTTCTTTTTTCTCAAACACACACAAAGCAGAACTTATTACGCAACCGAACCGGTTGAATCTATTTTCTTGCTTTGGAGATCACCTTACTTATGAGTGAAACATAAACATTCAAACGTAAATAGTTAAGAGACTCCGCCTCGCTCGCTTTGCATATTGTTGCAGGGTGTTTGCTTTCAGATGTTTCACACCATATACCCGACTTCTATCTCTGAGGTGGAGTATAAAACGTGATCCATCAGAAAAGGCCACCTATCGCCACTCACGGCCAGTTGCCGTCTACTGAGTGGTGATAGGTAGCCGATTGAAATTTCAGCCTTCGTCGCCGATGAACAGTAGTCAACATAGATGCATTAACAGGCATTAGCTGTCAATACACATCAATGTTCACTGAACAGTTATTTTATTTTATAACAATCGTTGAACAGCCAACCCAATTTTTTTGAGTTTACAACTACTAATGTTCAACTTCGCTGTCTTGTAATTTTGAACCCTATCCAGAAGACAAATGAACTCCTTCCTAGGTCAAGTATTGGGATAAATTTGCCACCGTGGAGGATTTTTTTTGATCGAACTAACCCCGATTTGCGCTGCAGGAATAGGAAAACAACGAAAACCTCCCACGGTTATCCTGACGACAAGGGGACTCTAACCCGTGATCCGTCTCCCACTGAGGATATTTTACGTCAGTACTGTGGTCTGTGCAAGCCTGATGTGGAATTCGTATCGACGAGCTATCGCTGGGATTCGAACCCGGTTTGCCTCATTGGAAGGGGAACGCTGTATCCCCTGAGCCATCATGCTCACTTGAACAGTGAGGAGACGCTGTTGGTAGCCCTTCGGTTCATATAAATGATCGACTTCTCAACGGTTGCACACGTATTTGCCCAAACGAATCTCCGCTACCATCAATTAATTACCTCTGTCATCTACGAAAATCATGCTGATTCTTAAATTTTAAATTTTGCTAATGATACAGATAAGCTGAAATGCTATGCCTTCAGTAAATTTTTGTAAAAAAAATGTTACTTATGTTGAGTTAAAATGCTAATAACAGGATCAGTAAAAATAAAGTGTAAATGTAGTAATCAATTTAGCTTTTAATGCATTTGTAGTTTAACTTTGAATTTTTGTTTCATAAGTGTAGATATTTTGGTTAATAAAATCACCAGTCTAATAAAATTTATAGTTCTCAAAACGGACGTAATTTTAATAGACGGCGAGCACCGTATTTCAAAAAAGGAAATTCTTACAAGCATTAAATTTAAAACCAATGAAGACTATGTTGTTGTTGTAGTTGTAGTTCATTTACGTCGCACTAGAGCTGCACAATGGGCTATTGGCGACGGTCTGGGAAACATCCCTGAGGATGATCCGAAGACATACCATCACAATTTTGATCCTCTTCAGAGGGGATGGCAACCCCGCTTCAGCAGCCCGACGACTTGCATGCGAAGTCGAGCACTTTACATTAGAACAGTTTAACGAGGACCAATACCGCACACCTTCGATCCAAGTGGTCACCCACTCGCATACTGACCGCAGCCAACGATGCTTGACTTCGGTGATCTGCTGGAAGCCGTGTCTTAACGATCAGTCCACTGCGGGACTAAAGACTATGTTTATCCCACATAAAAATAGTCTTTACATACCCACAGTAGCCGACACTTATATATTCACACTGTCCCCTTAGTGTTATCATTTTGTTTAAACTTAATAACAAAAAAACACATTGTTTAAGCTCATGAAAAAAAAGCATATCGAAAGTGTTTGATTAAATATGCAATAAACATATTCAAGCATAACATGATCATAACAAAACATAACATGATCATAACAAAACATAACATCAAGCATAACATGATCATCCTATTGTGAAAAACGATGATTAGCTGTAATTGCAATTGAAGCAAAAATTAAGAATTTATTTTTACTTCACATAACCTTGTTTTTTAATTTCTTATTAACAGTATAATGTTTAGTCTTGTAACACACATGAAAATGCAGCATAGTTTTGTCTATCTGCCAGAATTTACAGAGAAATTTCGATTGATTAATTAAAGAAATATTCCATTAGTCTACACTAGCCTTAACTAATTATATGTAATTAATTTGCCTACTCTGGCCCTACGTCCCTCTCCTCTAAATGATATGGCTGATTTAGTTGCTCTTCAGTGTACTCTGTTTCGAATTGAGAGATAATAGAATTTATTGAATTGAAAAAAGAAGTTTCATTGACCATACAAAACTGGGACTGTGGATGCATATGATATCCAGAGAGTTAAGCAAGATGAAGGTCTCAAGGTACCTAAAAATTTTCCTGTTTTATACCTCAAGATTTTCCTGTTTATAATTGTCTTATTCGTGTTTAGCGTACTCCCTCCTTTTTCTTTAGAGCCCCGCAGTGGACTGATCGTTAAGACACGGTTCCCAGCAAATCACCGAAGTGAAGCATCACTGGCTGATGTCAGTGTGCGGTATTGGTCCTCGTTAAACTGTTCTACCGTAAAGTGCTCGACTTCGCGTGCAGGTCGTTTGGCTACCGAAGCGGGGTGCTATCCCCTCTGCAGAGGATCAAAATTGTGATGGCTTGTCTTCGGATCATCCTCAGGGATGTTTCCCAGACCGTCGCCAATAGCCCATTGTCAGCTCTAGTGCGACGTAAATTAACTACAACAACAACAACAACTTTTTCTTCAGAGCCGTGGCAGCCCAGTGGTTAGAGAATCGGACTACGGTCCAGAGTAATCGGGGTCGTCCTGGATTCCGCTAAGTCCCACCGAGTACATTCGATATACGTGCTCGTAAAATCTGTGGAATCGAAAGTCCTGTGGTTGGTTATTGAGGAGTACAATGGGTACAGAGATCTGGTGAAATCCCCCCACCCTCAGATCTATGTTTAAATTGGGAAAGGAACTGCACAAAATTGAGATGGCTTCGGATTATTCTCAGGGATATTTTCCAGGCGGTGGCCAATTGCAGCTCTAGTGCGAGGTAAATAAAGTACCCATCTTATTTTAATGAATTATTTTCAGATTTCCTTGTTATGAGTCTATGTGATGATGGCGCTCACCGTCAGGATAGTAGGGTGGTTTTCATTCTATAAGTTGTCTTCTTCGCTATTATTTTTTATCAGTATCATACTGAAACTGATTACAAAGAAGTTAGTAACTGCCAACCAGCTCGTAAGTGCCAACTTTTTTGTACGCGACACCTAGGAATTGAATCAGCTACATTTAAATTTTTGTTTGGAAACGAGAAAGGAAGATTAAAGCGTACAAAAATAGGCAGCTCGTTCCGTTTTTTAATTTGGTTTTGTTATTTTGCTATTTTCTGTGATTGTATTATTTTTTATAAATATCAGTCTGACAAAAGAAACCACTAACATTTTATTTGGACCTTGCTTTTTAAAGATTCATTTACATCGTTGAAAATGGAGGTAAAGAAAAAAAGCACTTGTATTGTATCTTTTAATTCAAATTTTAGAAATAATTAACGCATCTGACATCTTGCTCAATGTAAAACAATCTATATTTGATTGTAATAAAAAATTATATAGCATTACTTTGTAATGATTAGTATTAATTGTCATTACGCGACTGCACCATTTGACAGATGTTTGCAACACTTAATAACGTAACAAATGTATAGGAATTTACTTAAAAGTAATCTATCTGTTATGTTGAAATTTTTGTTCTCTGTTTAAAAAGCACTATTTTTAGTAATTATGTTTAATATTGTACGGGGAAGATTTCCTTATCGTGATCTGTGGCAGAATAATCGCCAATTTTGGGCAACTTCCCGGCAGTGGCCCGCGAGAAACTGAAATAAAAAACATCACAGAAAGGGACCAACTCGAAAGGTATAACTCATAGCAAATATCTACAGGTGTTTTTTAAAAAAATTTCCAAGTTTGAAATCTATTTGGCACCTTGGCGATTGCAGTTGGTTTGTTAATAACTTGATATAGTTTTTCACTAATGTCTATATTGTTTCTTTCACTTATGGCTAGATTTGAGTTTGATGTTTAATTTATTTATTTAGTTGCTTCCCGAATGACCATTCATTCACGAACTGGCCAGGCCACTAAACATCACATTTTAAAAAGATGGTGAAGTTGCCTCAGTTCATAATTAATATTTATTTATTATTTATTTTTTGTTAATAACTTGATATAGTTTTTCACTAATGTCTATATTGTTTCTTTTACTTATGGCTAGATTTGAGTTAGATGTTTAATTTATTTATCTAGCTGCTTCCCGAATGACCATTCATTCATTCAGGAACTGGTCAGGCCACTAAACATCTCATTTTAAAAAGATGGTGAAGTTGCCTCAATAATAATAATTAATATTATTATTGAGTTAATATTTATAATTAATATTTATTTATTTATTTTTGTTAATTTTTTAATTAATAACTTGATATAGTTTTTCACTGATGTCTATATTGTTTCTTTTACTTATGGCTAGATTTGAGTTTGATGTTTAATTAATTTATTTTTTATTTTATATTGCAGAAAGAAGAAAAAGCTTTAGAAGTGAGTCTTGATACTCTGGTAAACCGTTGCCAAGATTTAAAAATGTCTATTTCTTCATTCATAACTAAACTTGAAAATGAAAACTTAAGTTGGTAAGAAAAATACTTGTTCAATCACAAATGTATTCAATTAATTAAAAAAGGGTTAATTTTTCATAAATTTATATTAAACAAATTACTCAACTCTCTTTTTATATTGTGAAAATTTTCATTGTTTAAAGTTTAATAAAAATTTCCTCATTATCTAATTGAAAATTTCATTTACTTCAAAAATAAACAAATAAGAAATATCAATCGATATGTTTTAAGCGCTTCGAAAATAGGCGCCCGTTTTCATGACTTGCCAGGTGTGAATGTAAAGGAACTAAAATAGTTTGAAATGAAAGTATAAAGTGACCTACAAAAAATTGAAAAATAAAAGGTGAGAAACAAAACTAGAAAAATCACAGAACCCAAGAGAGAAAAAATGAAAAACTGTATAAGAAAAATCACTATGGCTGAGAAGCAAATCAGGATAAAATGCATGTTTTTAGTTTTTTCTGATTCAAGTCTTGAAAATGGGCGCATAAAACAGCACTTGAAACATGTCGACTGTTATTTCTTTTTTTAAATATTCACATATTATAATTATCCTTCAAATATTCACTTATAATAACAATTCTTCAAATATAACGTTAAATCATTTCTACTTATAACCCATCTCGAATTAAAAGCCTGAATAGAAAAATAGCTATGTCCATGTGTGGGAACTAATGTCGATATCAAGGTAATCAGCATTCAAATTAATATTCCACAGGGTATCAAGATGAGCTAATGTAACTGCTGTGGAAATAATTTTAGCATTGTCAAAATTGAATTTATGCCCAAGTGGATTATATATATATATTTATCCTCTAAAGGGGGAGGATGAGTAAGAAATGATTTGGTAGCAGTTTTCACCCTTCCTTCTCGCTCCCGTGAAAATGACGGAGTGAGGTTTCGCCCTCTATTTCTCGCTCCCATGATATTGACAGGTGTTCAGAAGTAACTCGCCAATAAGAATAAAACTAATTCATTTTTATTGCCTAGAAAGCATTTTATTTCTCATTTTACACAACAGATGACAGTACCAGGATATTTTTAAGGTAATTATAGATAGTTAGTTTATTTTGAACTAGATGTCAGCACTAATCAAATATGTAATACTAATACAAAAAAGTCGACACTTTTATGACCGTTTTCTTGAAAATTAACTGATCATTAAGGGGTTAAAGCTCACTTGAAATGAAAAGCTTTTTTTTTTAATGCAGATACAAAAACTCTAGATTTCTTTTAATTGTAAATTTAATTACACAAATATTAAATGGAAAATTGTAATCTTAGAAGGGGTTGTGTCCCTTCATTTATGAAGTTGTAGGATGTTAAATCCCTACCCCTAATTTTGCTGTCCTCGTCACTAGCCTTTAAAAAGAAATGGAGAAAATTTTATTGAATTAATACCATAAGGAAGTGATTGTAAAAAAATGATAAATTAAGTTTCTTATTAGATATGGGTCGTTTATTGTAAAAGCATATTACATTCTTGTAAATGAATTATGAAATATAGAGCTCATTATTAATATTTTGATAATAAGCCTTTTGAAAATTTATGTGTATAAAAAACGAATAGAAGTATTCACTTGGAGAGTGTATCTATAAGTCTTTAACAGAGTTACTTTTTTTTATTGCTTATCAATAATATTACTAAATTTGAACAAAAAAATGCATACAAGAAAAATATACAATAAGAACACCATTTGTGCAACCTAACTGGAGTTTTACTATTTTTACAAGGAACCACGCGTATGTTCTATTTATGCTCAATTTTCTTAATTCCTACCAGACATGGACATGAATAATTTTTTTCAAGTTGTTTTCAATGATATATTGCAATTTAAAAAATTGTTTCATCCATTTTTCATTGCTTATATCATGCTGTTATCACTAAGTTCTTTTATATATTGTGTATTATTTCAGGCCAATGGTTTTGGATAATTTTGCACTTTTATCTGGTCAAGTAAACACAGTTTTAAAAATTTTAAGAAATGAAAAAACTCCTTTGTTGAGGAACAGAATACTTTTACCTTTAGTACTGTCTCCTGATCGAGATGAAGAGTTAGCTGTAAGTTTTGTTTCATATTCTTTGTTTAGTGGTAGGAAATGTTTAGAAACATTGATGAAAAATAATTTATTTTACCAACTCTTTAAAATAAAGTATTCAATGAAGAAATATGCTTTATTATACTCCTGTAATCTAATATTGATTCTTCTCAAATTCACTAAATTGTTGACATTTTCTTTCACATGGTATTTATGTTTTAAAACATATCTGTCCATTACTGTGTTCATTAATAGTTTCATTCATTAATGGTGTGAATAATGTGTAATTACACATTTTTTATCATTCGGCTTGTGTTAAAAACAAACCTCCACAAAGGCAAATTTCTCCCAATACTTGATTGAGGAGTTCACTTGTCTTCTGAATTAGGTTCAAAATTATAAGGCTATAGAGTTGACCATTAGAAGTCTTCCCTGTGGCAAAATTTTTTCGAGCTTTCTGCGACAATTCTCTCTAGTACTAATACCTTTTTAAGAAACATTTTTAATAGTAGCAAGTATATATGTTACTAATTTAAAACAACAGAAGCACTTTCAGTTTACAAAAAAGCCTTCATGTGTAGAATAGAACAGTATATATTTTTTTTAATTATAAATGTAAGATTTTTTTTTTAAAATCTAGGTATAAAAGAATACATATTCTTGTTCCTGTTCTAAGAAATATTTGTATAGTTAACCTTTTTTAAATTTTTGCTATTTGGAAATGCTTTCTATAGTATAAATTTGAAATTCTGGCTAAAGCCAGTCATTGCGGAATTTTTTTATTCTCAAAAGAAAATATAAAAAAATTACGAGAGTTTTTTCCACCTCCAATATACGAGATAGGCATTTTTTAAATAAAATTCTGCTGAAAGGGGAAAAAAAGTTCTGCAGAAAAGAAATATATTTAGAAAAATTCTGTAGATAAAAAAACCCAAACTTCTTTGCTTTCCAAATAAATAATCTTTCTGCAACAACTCTGTAATGTTATAGGACAATGTCGCCATGATTCTGCCACAGGGGTAGTCTTAAACTCAAAAATTGGGTTGGCTGTTCAAATTGCTGAATAAAATAGAGACCGATTGACAAAGTTAATTTTTCTTTTCAATCCTCTCGATAAACAAAAAGGAATTATATGTGCAGTGTTTCAATACAGCAACTTAAGTTTGTAGAAAAAGTTTTTACTATGGGCTCTGGTGTAGTTTTGTTGACTAAAATATATTCACAAATGTGAAAAATATTTCAAAAATTGGAGAAAAATATTTTATATATTTTTTAAATTTTTACCTAAATTTTAAAGTACTGTTCCTTTTTCCATTTTTAAATTTGAGATAATCTGATTTGATTTTAGAAGATTTAGATATTTAGAAGTTTTCACTATTGATTCTGTATGTGGATTTAAATTTAGCTATTTTTTAAAAAAATTATTATTGCAGAACTTTTGAGTAAAAGCATTCCTTTTTTTTTTTATCTATACTGTTTACAGGTATGAATTTCACTAATAAACCAAAATTTTCCAATAATAGTCTGAAAAAATATCTATCCACTTGAGCTTGATGTCTGTTTTAGTTAAGATGCTTTAACAATAGTTTTTATTCATCTTTCTTTTAAGCATTATTATGCAAGTTTCTAATTAATTTCAAACTTACATTTCTTGTATTTAATTTTGATTTATCTGCTAATTTAAATTTTGCTATAAGTTTTGGTAAACCTAATTTTTACAATATTAGTCTTCATTTGATTGTGTTTGGGTCAGAAAAAAAAAGAGATTTATGAAGATGGTGTTTCAGATTAACTCAGAAAATTCTGCTACAAGGAATCTCGATTATCCTATGCTTATTATCCAACTTTCCTTTTGACACGTGTTTTACAGTTATTAAAGCTGTTACCTAATTACCACTCTTGACATGAATTGACGTTTCATGACATTGTATTGTTAATAGCAAAAATAAATAAATAAAACTCTTGTTTTTTATATTTAATTATATCCACGGTTTATTGTTTAATTTTACTCATAGAGTGTTTGTACACCTAAAAAATGGATTTGATAAGGTAACTGGATTATCCAGAAATTTTGATTTTCTGACATACCCCTAATCCCTAGATTTGTTGGATTATCAAGGTTTTTCTGCATATGTATATGCATTGAATTATATGTTTTGTTTCTTATTAAAAATTTTACTTTTAAAAGATAGACATTTAGAGATTCAACTAGAAAATTACTGCCTATAGTGTCTATTCTTTTTACCATAATTAAAAATGAAATAAAGAATTTATTGTTTCTTATTGAAAATTTTACTTCATTTAGAGATTCAACCAGAAAATTACTGCCAATAGTGTCTATTCTTTTTACCATAATTAAAAATGAAATAAAGAATTTATTGTTTCTTATTGAAAATTTTACTTCATTTAGAGATTCAACCAGAAAATTACTGCCTATAGTGTCTATTCTTTTTACCATAATTAAAAATGAAATACAAAATTTACTGTAATTCCTTTTTAAAAATAATTATTTTTTTAAAATTAAGTTTCAAATTCTATTTATGTTTTTCTAGAAATTAACTGAAAACAGAGTTCATGCTTTCAACCATGAAATTGTTCCCGATTATTTAAGAACTAAACCAGACCCTGAAGTAGAACAGCGAGAGCAACAATATATGTTAAAGAGTAGTACTGTACCTATGGAAATGGCTCAAGTAATAAAAGAATTTTTTTTTCACATACTGGAACTTAAGAGGGGTTGAATGCTTATATTTTATTTTTGCTTTTTCAGAAACAGATCACGGCAATCAACAAAATAGTAAACAATGTGTTAGATACAGTGAAAGCCAGCAGAGATGCTTGGGAAAATGATTCAGGTGTGTATTCTGCCTAATTTCAGCTATGCTTATAGAAATAGTCAGTGCGTAGCCAGATTTTTCATAAAAGAATAAGCAGCTATTAAGTACTTTTTAAGCACTCAAAAAATTTTTTTAAATCATTTTCCAAAAAAAAAAAATCATAACTAAGATCTGCACAGTTACAAAAATTATTATTTTCTATCCTTTTAAAGTTCTTAATTTATAAAAATAAAAAAAAATTTCTAAAACTTTTTTATAATCATGATAAAATAACTAGTTTCTGATAAATATTGCGGAGAAAATTATAAAAATCATGAATTTCTTGTAATTTAGAACGATAATCGATATGGCAAAGAAAAAATCTCTTCTTAAAAGATAAAAAATTAAGCACTTTTTACAAACACCAAATGAAAAAAGCACCTTTAAGGGCTTTCAAAGATAAGTAACTTTAAGCACTTTTTAAAAACACACGCACACTGATAGTAGATTAACTGATTTATGCCCAGTGGCTAAACGGTAGCGCTTCTGTGCCACAGGTTTGGGGTTCTATCCTCAGGTCGGGCAAGATTGACTCAGTCTTTCAGTGGGTCAATAAAATGAGTACCAAGCATGCTTGGGGACTAAACACAGGGGTTTCTGGGCTTGCACCTTACCGGAACATCTGCGCTCCAGAGCCCAAAGTCAGGAAAACTAAGATAGGCACAGTAGGTCTTGGCCCTTCATGGGCTGTAGCGCCACTGAGTTCAGTTTAGATTAACAGGCTTAAGTGAGTATTTTTGATTGAAAATGTGCGAATGAAATGTGTAAATTATTAGGGGTCCACAAATTCCAAATGCTATAAAAATTGTAGCTGGGCTTATTATTTTAGCCAAATTAAACTTTCACTCTCTTTAAACCAGTGCTCCCTAACATTTTTATTGCTGCAAACTGGTCAGCTTTTGACCATTTTTCTGCCCCCTCCGAAAGAGGGCAAAACTGCAACTTTAACCAACAATTTCCCGTGGTTAATTTTTTTAAAGCATATTTCTCGAGCGTTACCTAATAGGTATGAATAAAATAAATATTTAATGTAGGAAGTTTTTTTGTTGTTTATATTTTAGATGGTTTTGATTTAATAATTTTAATGCAGTTGTATTTAAACACGACTTTAAAACAACATTCGCGATATTACTGCTTCTTTAGATGACATCACTAAGCTTCCAGTTAACCTCTGTTCCATAGAAGGAGCACAAACCAGAGAGAAATACATTACAGTAAATGGAATGGAAATAATTTGTATTCCTTGGGCACCCCTGTACCAATTTACGGGTTTCTTACTACTGATTTAAACATTAAAACTCTGAAATTTCAGTTTATTCGCTTTTCACCTAAAAAATTTGCAGACTCCTGTAATTTTTATTTTTGAAGTAGGAAATATTAAAATTTTTCTAATGTTAAATATAATTGAATTTTGCAAAATGTATTACATTTAAACAAATAATAAGTTGTCCTATAGTTTAAATTGTAATTGCATCTTAATTAGGACATAGAGCAAGTGCTCAACAGACTATTAGATACTGGAGCTCTAATTTATGCTTATCTAATTGCATCTTTATTTGGACAAAGAGACTTTATCTGCATCAGATACTGGTGCTCTAATTTGTGTTAATTAAGTTATTCTTATTTGTGTAAATTCTAATTAATGCTAATCTATTTGTATCTTAATTTAGACAAAGAGCAAGTGCTCAACAAACTTCATCTACATCAGATACTGGTGCTCTAATTTGTGTTCATTAAGTTATTCTAATTTGTGTAAATTCCAATTAACGTTAATCTATTTGTATCTTAATTAGGACAAAGAGCAAGTGCCCAACAAACTTCATCTATATCAGATACTGGTGCTCTAATTTGTGCAATCACGCTTGGAAAAGGTTTAAGGCCTGCCACTGGTTCACCTAAAGGACAGCCAACCAGTTCCCAACCGCCACCTCAACAACCAAATAGGCCAGGTAAAACTATTTTTATATTAAATCTATTAGTTAAAAATTTAGAATCTGTATTAAATTTGAATTTACAAGATTTAATTTAGTTTAAAAAGATAGAAGACTTTGTAACAAAAAGATTAATTTATCTTTTCGCGCCTCTATTGTAGTCTGCTTCTGAATGAATCAGGATGTGACTATTAACTGCATTAGTAGTGATATAATTAAAAGTTTCTTGCATACATTAACTATCAAAATTATTTTTACTTAACTATTCATTCATCAAGAAAATAACATTAGTAGAAAATATTTTATTCCAAATTATTAAAAAAAAAAATTTTTTTAATGGCGGGCACTTGGGGTGTTGTCCCATTGGCCACAGAACTGCTACTCTCTTCTCGCCTATTCAGTGGGCACCTGTGGCGAAGCCACGTCACATTCACACACAAAGGATAAAGGACATAGAACACAGAGAACTCATGCCCTGAGCAGGATTCGAACCCACGACCAATGGCTCCGCAGTCAGGCACGCTAACCACTCGGCCACCTAATTATTAAAATATACTTCAAGTATATAAGTATAACTAAATAAGTATACTCTATTTTAAGGAGGAAAAATTTATAGGAATTATTCTTTTCCTTAGAAAGTATCGAGCCACGTGTGTACAAATTAAAAATCTGAATAACTTTTGATCTAATAATCAGATTGCTACATGCTAGGACTAATTAATGATGCGAGGGTATACTAGAAACATGCCAGTTAATTAATGTGGACTATATTTTAAATTATGGAATGACACATATCTTTATTTCAATGAGCATTTGTTTACGACTGTCAGAATATGGGGTGTAGCTTGTAATCTGGAAAATATGGTCCCAATAGTTTGGGTCCCTTAATGTAAATGTCACATGCCTCGAAAAGTTTCTAAGCTAATTTAAACAATTTTGAGCCTATGATAATGCCATGTAAAAATTACTTTTAAATAATTATTTGTTATTGAATCGTTTAATAATAAATGAAAAACTTTTGATTTTACATTATTTTTAAATATGCAATTTTAAATGACAAAACAGAAAATGAAATCTGTTGCTAGTTCACAAAAAAAATCCTGTATTTTGTCATTTAATATTGTAAAATTTGTATTGTTCACATTACAGTTCAACACTTTTTCAATAATATAAAATCTTAAGTAATAAATACTTTTTACATCGAATTATCTCTGTAGAAATTTTTTGATTCGCTTGATAATTCACCCGAGTTATAGCTAAGTATGCAAAACGTGAAATTAACATTAAAGGATCCTAACTTATACTTTCCTGAGAGTATTGGCTCCATATATTAAGGATCAAAAACCCAAAACCATTGATGAAGACATATGTTATTGTGTCTTTTGCTAATCGTTAGCATTATTTTTAAAGTTGGCACTGTCAATGAATTTTCGCGAAGTTTAATTTCTAGAAATTAAGTTTCTTTAAATGCTGATTCGTCTGCATCACGAAAATTCATCTTTCTGCAGTAAATTAATTATCAGAAATGCTGGTAATTCGTCAATGACTTTAGTACCACTTTTCCTTAGTATCAGTTACCTTCTGTATTGTTGCAGATCATTTAGTATTTTTTTTTTTTTATATATATTTAAGTTGTTTATATAAGATAACTAATACATTTATGCTCCTAAAATGTTTTTTAGAAAAATAATTTCTCAGCAGTAACTATCCTTTTACTTTAAAATTCACTCTTCACAAAGCATTTCTTGGTACATTTTAGTTAGCAAAGTGCAAATTCTGCCTAGTTTTGATTTGGTTATTTGTCTTTTTAAAATCGTCTGGTTAGCCCGATGTAGGCAAGGTCGCACTGACAAGGAATGTGGTAAATGTCCTAGCCATTATCAAAGCTAAGCTAGACTTCATTTAATAGGACTGAAAATGACTTTAAAACCAATAACGAGAGCAGAAAACGGTGAAGTAACAAGTTCTTTGTATGGATTAGAAGAGGGGCGTTAAGAGTCTAGTGGGCTAAGCAAAAGCTGAATCAACTATAGAAGTTAGCAGCCAAAGAGTGGAGGACATAAAGTTTGGAGTTATTCTAATCACCCCAATTGTCAGGAAGTGTCTGCATTTCACACTTTCGTTTTTCTTGTGCTTAACCTTTGCTCCGATTCTTCTTTCAACTCTGAACTTAACTTGCTCGTTTGCTGTTAATCGTGGATTTAACACTCCTGAAGTTGATTCAGTTGTCTTCTAATCCTTACAGCAAACTCATTACTTCACCATTTTTTCTCCCGTTTGTTACAAAATTGTTAATATTCCCTCCAGTTTGTTTTAAACCATTTTCAGGCCTGATTACAAACCCAAATTTAAGTCTCTTGAAGATCTTATTAGAATGTGGGCATTTACCACATTCCGTGCCAGGGCGACTTAGGGCATAAATTCAGCTAGTCACATCAGCTTTTTTTTATATCCTAGGATCTTGTTTTATTTATTTGAATGCCAGATTATCTTGTTAACAACACTATTTCCTCCCTTCCTTTGCATGGTAATGCATTTCACGCCGATTTGCTTCTCAGCCAGTGATTTTTCTTGTTCATCCCTTATCCCTCTCAGCTTCTGTGGTTTTTCTAGTTTTTGTTTCTTACCTTTATTTTTTGTTGGCAATGGCAAGTTATTGCCCCCCCCCCACCAAATCATTTTTGTTTCGTTAAATTCGTTGATGTTTACTTTTGATGTGCTTGAAACATAAGAAGTTTTCAATTAGGTAATTCCATTATATATATAATAAATGATAATTGAATTTTTAACTTGCTTTTATTGTGGTAGTTAATGGTAGACATTTTTTTTCTGGTTCCATGCCAACCAAAAATATCCTTTTTTTTAAACCTAGCTTAGCTATGACATTAACTTATTCTTTATAAACTTATAATATAACATAGCTAATTATAATTTTTTCCTTATTAGCATCTGGTGGGAAAGTTCCCAGTGCTATTAAAACAAATATCAAGTCAGCTGGAAGTATGCACCCATATGTAAGATGATTCGTAATGGAATGAACTGCTACTAAAAGGTTTTATGGTTCTCAATATGTATTGTAAATATTTACTATTAATAAATGTATTTGTCCATTGTCTGATTAAATAGTGATCATTTATAGCCTTTTTTGACTCTAGGTAGAAATAATAGGTTTAAAGCTTCTCACAATCACAAGTCAGGGACACAAAATGTAAACTCAGAAATGTTTCACATTTTTTAATTGCAATATAGGTTAAGAACAACAATGCCTCTTAATTTTTCACTGTTATCATAGTCTCGAAACTATAAAAGAGATCAAAATAAGGAATGAGTATTGCTTAAATATGTTAATCTCTATCTTCCTCTTCTTAGTCAAACCTCTTTGATTTTTAAGATAAGTAGTTCATAGACAGATAAAACAATGAGTTGATAGTAAAATAAAACATGTAATTCAGGGTGCGTAGCCAGATTTTTCAATAAAAAAATAAGCACTTGACTCAAAAAATATTTTTTATCACTTTCCAAAAAAAAAAAAAAAAAATTAGGATCTGTGTAGTAATAAAAATTATTTTTTCTATTGTTGAAAGTTCTTAATTTAAAATCATAATAAAGAAAATTCAAAAATCAAATAACTTGTTTCTGATAACTATTGCAAAAAAATCATGCAGTTTTTGCAATTTAGACCGACAATCGATATCACAAAGAAATAATCTCTTTTTAAAAGATAGAAAATTAAGCACTTTATACAAACCCCTAAATAAAATAAAAAAGCAATTTTAAAGGCTTTTAACCCCTTCCTTGTGAAAATGACGGAGTGCGGTTTCGCCCTCTATTTCTCACTCCTGCCATATTTCCGGGCTGGAGTGTTCAGTAGTAACGCACCACAATAAGAATAAAACTAATTAATTTCTTTTGCCCGTAAAACATTTTATTTCTCATTTTACACACCAGTACCAGGATATTTTTAATGTAATTGTAGATAGTTTATTTAAACTAGATGTCAGCACTAATCAAATGTGTATTTGTACAGGATAAAAAAATTTAAAAAAAGGGCACTTTTATAATTGTTTTCTTGAAAATTAACCTACCGTTAAGAGGTTAAAAAACGTAAATCAAAAATAAGCACATTTTAAAATTACTACGCACCCTGTGATTATATAATAAAACTTGGGCCCTTTCATCAAAAACAAAGTAAATACTAATTCCTACACAAAGGATCCTTCATTTAAAATATATTTTACTTGAATGTGAGTACTTTGATGACTGCTATGGGAATAGATTGATGAAATTCAATCAATAATTGTCCTTTAGCATATTTTAATTGCTACATGATGTTTGTTGTGAATTTCAATGAAAGAAGGGAAGCAAAAAGTCTCACTTTTAAATTTATTCTGGTCACCAAACTGAAGTATAGCTGGAAGAACAGTCCGCATTCATTGTTTGCAACTCTCACAACTTATGTTAAAATGGATTATGCAACAGGCAAATGACACTAATTTGATACAATGTTTACACACATATTTATAGTAGACAATACAAAACGTCTCATACAACGAGACAATAAAAAATCAAGGCTTTAAACCTTGCTTTACGAAAAAATAAATTCATAATTTGTGCAGATACTGTTATATTTTCCTCACTAATATTCATGCTTTATGAAATTCACATACAGAATTTTTTTTAAAAATTAACTAGATTTAGAAGTTTTATTTTTCTGGAATTCCATAGGCTATCAACTATAACTTGATCGAATAAGTTTTACAACATTAGTTATCTTAAAAAGCACAATATTAGTAAGTGGTGACCTTTACTTTTTCTGTGGTCATTACCATTTTTTTTTCAGTCTTAATTCGGTACACCTAGAAATATATTAGTATTAAACGTTGTCGTAAAAATAAAATTGAAGGAAAAAACTGAATTTTTCATAAATCAGAGATTGAAATTAATATTTTCACCTAAAGTAGTAATAAGAAAATGTAAATTAGGTAATAATTTTCGTCATAAGATAACAGATAAAAAATATCACTGAAATCTCAAAACTATAAATGTTGAAATATAAGGTTTATTTACACAGGAATAGTAATAGTTATTTTCATGCATAAAAACATCCGTCAAGTAACAAATAAAATTCATGGCAATAAAATTTGTGTTTTGTATAAATTTTTTCTTCTTCATAAATCATGTTTCTTAAACCAAAACGGAAAATGAGTAACCTTATTAAACTGGTTGATCTGCATATAGCTTAGTCGTTGCACAAGAAAGAAAAAAAGAACTGTGTAGTCTCTACTAATTGCAGGATAAAAAGAAACAAAAATTAAGATAAAACTTGTAATTTTTTTCCCCTAGGGTGCGATAGTATAATAAATTAATCGGGTTCAGCACATTTACATCATAAATACAAACGAAACTGCAAATACAGAAAAGATGACAAAACTTTTAGTATAGTTAGACAAAAAATAATCTTATAACATAAATTTGTTGAATTTATCTGATTGTCAACATAATTGCAGCATAATAGAACATAATTTAATATTAATATTTATTTACATAACTTCCTTCCTTTGGAATTTATAGGTCTAATTTTTTTTTCGAAATAAGGAAATTATAATAGCTAAAATGGTTTAGATTTTTATCAGCTTTTTTTAAAAACAAATTGGAATGTTTTTAGAAAAAAAACAAAAACTAGTACTAGAGATATTGATCTAAACTTCAAGTGCAAAGAGAAAGAAAAAAAAAAAAATCCACAGAGAAATTGTTAGAAAATATCTTAAAGGAATGTTTTTTCAAAGTTGAATAAGTAAAAAGAGTTGCAACTAAAACAATCCTATTTTATGACTCAAAATTCATGGAGGTTAAAAAGAAATGCTTCTATATTAGCTGCCAATTTTAAGGCAAATTTTTTTTTTAAAACCAATGACAACCATATTAGAATTTTAAACAAAGATGGATACTTTGGAATGCAATAATACAACAAATGTTTAATTACAATGCTACAAATTTCCAGTCGTCGCTAATTCACAGATTTAAAATGTCAATAATTAAATATCACATTTACATCAATCATCCAGAAATTTCAATGTTCCTTTTTTAAGAGAGTGGTTTACATTATTAAAAATACGTCGATGAGCTAAATTAAATAATTAAAATAACATTAAATTAACTATCATGAAAATAATTTAAGGAAGAATTACATTATTTCAGCAGAGTCACTTTGGTAAAAGATAAATAATTTCAAAATAGAGCAGAGCAAATTAATATCTGTCTGAGGCCTTGAGTTTTTCAGACCCTAATATAGTTCTTTTAATACTGCTGCTGCAAATGAAAAATTTTAAGAATGTTTAAATGCGCTGACCAAATCAATTTGACCGGGCATAACAATATTTCCTGGAGTGGCATAATCTCCAATCATCAAGCTATTACTGACTGGGAAATGAGTGGTATTACCAAGGACTACATTTTGCTGTTGCTAAAATGGAAAAACACATATTTTACTAATAAAATCAAGATATTCTTCACTACAGATATCAATACTAAATATAAAATGCAGAAAATATTACATATTTTTTCTATGCCTGTCTGAATTATGACATGCAAAACAAAGTGCAATTAAATAAATTTAAGAAACAGAGGTTTGCTCCAATACTATCATCAGGGTTGCCAGAAAAAAAAGAACAAAATAGTTGCTTTTAATAGCCTAAAGCATGAAAATAGTTGTTGAAAACTATGAAAATAGTTGCCTAAATAAGAACCAAAATTCATCAAAAATATGACTAAAATTTTAGTAAATGACTTGTCATATACAATGACCCATTTAGATAAGTTGGTGGCAAATATATAAAATCATGTGGAATTTCATAGCAATTACCATTGAAAAGGAGATCAAGAAATGAAATAGACTTACAATTGAATCTGTGCAAATTGAACAAATTAAAAAGTGATGACTCAAATTTACCATTCAAAATTTTTTATTATTTAAGAAAAAAAAAATCAATGTGTTCAGAAGCTTCTGCAGGCCACAGGTTTTCAGCCCAATTTATGCTAAAAAAACATCGCTAAGAGTACAGAAAAGTCTCCTTTTCTTGAAAATAGTTGCTTTTTTAACCTTTACAGGCAAAAAAAGTTGCCATAGTCACATCAAACCAAAAATAGTTGAATTTTAGTCGCCTGTGGCAACCCTGTATCATTCGTGTTCAGACAGAATGCAAGAATGGTAGGAAAATCTTATGTATTGTTGCTTTAGCATTTTCAGAAATTTGCCAGAGGAATTAGAGAGATAAGACTCAAACAATTGTATCAAGGTTTCGTTGTTAATTCATAGGAAAAAAAGATAGACATCCAATTACTGAAATAGAAAAAACTTAAGAAAATTTTTTACCATCAACTGCAATTGGCAAACACTAAAATATAAAGAAGGTTAAAACAACTTTTTTCAGACATAAATTAGTTGGATCAATTCCTTTTTAAGTAATCAAAATAATGAAAAGATTCATTACTCTCATTCAAGGAAGAAAAAAAAGTTAAGAAATAAATGTTCTGATAAAATTATAAATAGAAAAACAGGTACAAGAAGATTTTTAAACTGTTCTTAATTGATCAAAAAAAATTTGGGAGTCGCACGTAAATTAGGGAAAGGGATTAATATAACTAAATCAAAATGAATTCACATGCAATAAAAAAAATTATTGAATTCTTGATCATATATACGCTTTAAAAAAAAAATCAGGTACCTGAGTAAATAAAGAAGGTGAAATGCCACCTCCGATAGAACTAGTTGGTACACTCGCTTGTATTCTTGAAGTTGTTCGACTATTTGGGCTATTTCCGGAATTTTGTTGATTCCCTTTAAGAAGAAAAAAATTCACTTAAGGATAAACCCAATGAAGAAGTACAATTTAAAGTAGTGGAATATATCAATAAGAAAAATATTCCTCTTCAATTTTGTCGTAAGTATTAATATTTTCATACAATAGAATACTATTAAAGGATATTAAATCACAGAATGACACAAGGAGCCATTGAAATATAAAAAATAAATGATTCAATGACTCTGCATCTATAGGTCTGTATAATCTGTTACTTTAAAATATATTGCATAAAACATTTTGAGAAAATATGGTCAAATTTAACTTTTACAGATAAAATATCAATAAATTGTAGTAAAACATATTTATAGTAAACATATGTAAATAAGTTTTTATTGTGTGTTTGCAACAGTGTCTTTTATTCTAATAAAATCAATTTACTTATGAAGACTTTTACCTTAAATAAAAAAAAAGCATCTATTACTAGAAAATTAAGTAAAATTTAACAATTTAATAATTTTAAAATTTAATTTAATTACTACATTTTATTTCTTCTCTTTTTGATGTTTGGCATTTTTATAAAACACGATACAAAATTAAAGACTAATATTGTGTGACAATATGTACAAGTCATTAATCTTTTGTTATCTACAATTTTTAATAAATACATTTAGATTCTTTTGTATTTCACAATTTGATTTTGATTAACTATGCAGACCTACCAACTTCAAAAGTTTGAAAAACCTATGAATTTTGTTGACTATGGCATAGCACAATGAGCAAAAAGATTAAGAAGAAACAATTAACAAGATAAAAAAATTAATTTGTTCATTCTTTAAAATAAATTTTCCTACTCCTAAAAATTACAATAAAAAAATAATTAAAATTGAACTATTGATCTGAAACAATCTAAATGACTGATTTTTTTCTTGAAAGTCGGATTTGCCTTCCCAAATTCATTTTGATAAGAAAGAACAGATTTAAGTTAGGATTCTTGTTTTGTGGCTGAATTTTCTCTCAGAAGACTAAGGAATGGTCAATACTTTCAGCTTTAACTTCGTCAACACACAGTAGACATTACTTTCTCTGCTACTGATTTTTCGTTATTTTGTATTGACACCACCAAAAGAATGAGAAAAAAAAAAATTTTTTTTCCCCACTGTAAAACACAATACTGAGTTTTTACGACATTAAGAAACGAGTGTTGTCATCTTTTCCTAAAACAAAAATTTGCACTAAAAAAATATTTCTATAACACACTCAAAACAAAACAGCTTATCTAGAGGAAGAAGTTTTTGGGTTGTGCAAAAAGGAGCCAGAATATATCCGCAGATTCATATTCATTAAGAAAAAAAGTCAGAGAAAATACTTTGTGAGTCTAAGATTGGATACAATAGCCTAAGAGTTGGCAGATCTGATTATGTTATGATTTAGTTTTAAAACTATCCTGTAAAACCTGTTTATTCATAATATTTTGAAATAAAGTTTCTCTGTTTTAAACCCATACATTTTCTTTTGTAGTTGGTATAATACTATTAATTATGAAAATCTGCAGTCCATTTATGAATTTGTAATGACTGTAAAGATATTTATTATTACAAAAATGAAATTTAATTTTTTTCATTTTTTTAAAAAAAAGGAAATTATTTTTTAAACGTCAAATAAGAACAAATACTTTTTTGATATTCTTCAAAATATTTATAAAGTTTTTAGAAACAACTCAATAGGTAAACATTTATATTATCGTTCTGTTAGTTGCCAAAATGACTTAAATAAATGCTGGGAATACAATTACAATTAACAACTAATAACTATTCAGATGTAATTAGATCAGTATCTATTATTGCAAGTTTATAAGAATCTTCATTTAATTTGCTTTTTATCCAGGAGGGGGGTTAATTGTACAAATAAAAAATAGTTCCCAAATTTTTCATAATCATTATAACAAAATAATTAGCCTTAGTTAAATAGATTTTTAACTTCCTCATGAATTAAAGAAATTAATTTCAAGCTTAATAAAGTTTTCAAAACAGGATTGAAATTTTTGCTGGAAGGATCTAGGAAAAAAATCCTGTTTTAAATAAATACAATGGAATGTTATAAAATCTGCAAAAGGTAGACAACTGAACAGTTTATTTAATAATAGTTTTAATAGTTCAAGCTGTGTGTCTACTTCTAAAATGCATAGCCGCCAACTTGTTAAAAACAAAAATAGGAACACAAAGCGTAATAAGCCAATCAGGGGTAATAGTGACTAAGTAAATAAAAAACTAAAAATCAATATCAAGATATCAATTTATAAACCTTATATGCTTCATATTTAATATAATTTTTAATTAAATTACTTACTAATGAAGAATATCCCACCTTTATATTAAGCAATTCAAGAAAAAACTTACTTCTTACAAGAATCATATAATTGGACTTCAAATTCGCGTGAATATGAATCTCTATATTGGATTTTTAAATAGCGTAAATACGAATGCACATTGTTTAGATCTTGTCAATATGAATTGCAATGCATAGCTTTTAAATCACGTATAAATATGAAAATCAATGTTTGATAATACAACTGTGTGAATACCAATCACAATATTGGATTTTAAAAGCATGTGAATATGAATCGCGAAATTAGACTTTGAGTTCGCATGAATATGAATCACACAGGGTGGCCACTCAAAACAGATTTCAAATTTCCCTGATTTTTCCAGGTAAAAATCTTAAAATTTCCAGGTTTGTGTTTTTTTCCTTTTTTCTTATAAAGTGTAGGATGTGTACAAGAAAAGTGTCTGTATTGTAAAATATCTTATTCAAAATGTCATTTTATTTATACATATCTTGAAAAAAAATTAATTTTTTTACATGATATTTTTTTTTATCATTTTTTAATGTTCTGGTACAACATTAAATTTTAAAAAATTAAGATGTGGAGAAAATAATATGTTTAGCTTGCAGAATATATTGTTTTTATTGAATAATTTTTAATTGTTTTTATTGAATTTAATGTGTTACTTTAGAAGTAGTATTAGCTCAAAGTGTACCTANTTATTTTTTAATGTTCTGGTACAACATTAATTTTTAAAAAATTAAGACGTGGAGAAAATAATATGTTTAGCTTGCAGAATATATTGTTTTTATTGAATAATTTTAATTGTTTCTATTGAATTTAATGTGTTACTTTAAAAGTAGTATTTGCTCAAAGTGTACCTACAAAATGACAAAATCAGAATAACCAATAAAACCTTGGATAAGTATTGTTTAATATATTTTCATTAAGGAAAAGAAAACCGTTTCAGGTGATTTTATATCAATAATTTTCAATAATTACAGTGGCTCCCAAAAGTGCTCACTCACTTATAACTTATATTGAAATAGGAAATAAAAACTCAATAATTAAAATGAATATTTCACAATGGGTATTTGATAATAAGTTGTATAATCCATTCTTAGCAAAACTGCACGGAATATTTTAAAAACAAAGCAAAAGTTAACTTTTTAATCAAATGGTAACAAAAATGTTACCCCATGAAAGTCAACGTACATTAAAATGTTTCGGATCTCAGAATTAAAATTATCATCAATTGCTTTTTTTATTTAATTATTTTTCATTTAATTTTTTATTTCTTTATTAGCAATTTAGTATCAAACCTATAATAGCAAAATTATATTTTAATTTTTGCTTGCTAACTCCGTAATATTTTATTTCTTAAAAATGACTTGTGGTCGTAATAAAATAGACCAAATTTGATTATTTGTCTTCATAAGAGGTAAATCAGTAATGAATATGTTAAATTAGTTTACTGTATTCAATTGAACTGCGCAATATGTGATAAAATGCTTAAAAGAAGGACTTCATATCAGAGATTAAAATTATAAATTTTGTGGAAAAATT